TTTCCCCCAGCTCCTTTGTTTTTATTAACTCGTGCTTAAGCACTTTTTTTTTTTTTTTTTCCAGGTCTTTTTGAGTCAGCAGTGGAGAGCTTTGTCTCTGCCTCCTATTTCTGTTGATGTTGCCACTTGGTTACACAAAAGTTTTGGGTTTGGTTATTTTGTTGGTTGGTTTGTTTGAATTTTGGCTTTTGAAATCATGTAACCAGTCTGGCCTCAACTCTCTGTGAAGCTGAGGGGGCTATGACCTTGAATTCCTGGTCCTCCTGTCTACATCCCAAGTACTAGGAATGCAGGCCTGCTTCACCACACCCTACCTTAAAAGTTTTTAATTCAGTGAATGAGGATTTCTTTTTCATGCTGTTTTGACTTGCACACAACGGTTTTATGATATTCAGAAGAAGGTGTCAGCTTGTCTTTTAGGTATTAATCCCCCTTCATTTTGTGACAAATAAATCATGTAAAAGGGATAGTAATTAGACCAAAAAAAGATAGTGTGGGAAAGTTTTTTAGTTACTAATAGGAATGGTTTACCTTGTTTAAAAAGAAATAAGAGTCTCCGACCTGCAGGCCTCTCTGTACGGGGTAAGTCAATAGTGCCTTCCACGCCTTGACTCCCCCAGCCTCACTCACCTTCCCATCTCTCCCCCGCTGGTCTCTCCTCCTAGCCTGGGTCCTGTCCCATTCCTTGACTTGGCGCCCCACACACCTGGGGCATGATCCTTTGCATCCAAACCAACTCAGTTCCTTCTCAGGTCCCCAGGGGCACTCTGGGCCTGGCCCTGCCCTCACCTCCCAGTTTTAAATGACCACAGATGCCAACCCAGATTACTATACCCAGTCAAAATGTCTATTATAGACAAAGGGGAAAGAAAAATCTTCCATGACATAGACTGAAGGAATTCACGTCCACAAAACCAGCCCTTCAGAGAGTTCTGGAAGCAATACAAAGAGCTGAAGAAAGGAATGACTATACCCAAGGGGTGGCGGAAAGAAATTCAGTCAAGGTATAACTGTGGAAAAGTACAGCTATATCACAAATGTAAACAGAAATAAAAATGACAGGATTCAATATTCATCTTTCATTAATAACTTTAAATATTAATGGACTGTACTCCCCAGTCAAAAAACACAGACTAGGTGAATGGATTTAGAAACAAAACTCATGTTTTTGTTGTCTACAAGAAACTCATCTCACTTTCAAGGACAGACACTATCTTAAAGTGAAAGGATGGACAAAACTATACCAAGAAAATGGTACTAAGAAAAAACCAGGTGTAGCAATTCTAATATCTGACAAAATAGACTTTTAACTAAAACTAACCAGAAGAGATAAAGAGGGCCACTTCATTCTGATCGAAGGAACAATAAATCAAGAATATATTACAATCATGAACATATATTCACCAAACTCTGCTGCACCCAGCTTCATAAAAACAATACTACAGGACTTTGTGGCTTCAGGACTTTAAGACCAAATTAATCCCAACTCATTAATAGTAGGGGACTTCAGTACCCCACTGTCTCCATTAGATAGGTCAACAAGGCAGAGAGTTACCAGAGACATCTGAATATCAGATGGATTTAACAGACGTCTACCAAGTATTCCACCCAAGCACCGAAGGACATACTTTGTATTCAGGGCCCCATGGAACCTTCTCCAAAATCGACCATATACTGGGGCACAAAACAAACCTCAACAAATACAAAAAGACTGAAATAATTCCATGCATTCTATCAGACCACAATGCAATAAAGCTTATAATCAACACCA